AAAAAAAAATAGAAATTTAAATGCTTTAAAATCATATCGTTGCTCCATCTGAAACCCTAACAGCTCACTTGCACTGGAATACAGTGATAAATACCACTGACATTTGAACATGACTCCTTAGTTTCTCTCTCCAGCGAGCTTTGTCCCATTTAAGATGCCGCCCCCTTCGAGGGGCTTGTGTTGGTGATCCAGAAAAAAGATAGCGCTTTTTCCAGAGTCTTAAGGGCATAGCCTGGGAGCGGCAAGGAGCAGTTTACCGAGGCTGCGAATATACCAGGAGCCAGAAGCACTGAAGGAGGGCCACAGATAAAGAACAAATGTGGCCAATTAATAACACCTAATTAGTGGAGCAGAACAGCAATGGCAGAGCAATTTATAATGACGAATATAGAGATTCCCTCGCCAAAAACAATTACTCTGTACCTTTTACAATGCATGAGAGGGGCTTATTCATGATGCCAGACTGATTTGTCATGGTATTCTATACTGATCACAGCGTCTCTGCTTTTTAACATGCTACAGTAAATAAAAAGCCCACATTCTGTTCACAGTATTCAAATGCAATGCATTTTTTACATGTTAAGGTCTTAAAGGGATAGTTCACCCAAATATATATTAAGATAACATATATTTTGAAGCATGTTTCAACTGCTTTTGTCCATACAATGAAAGTAATTTTCAGACGACGGCATTTTTCAGTATATTACAATACACTTTTCTTGGGCCTTAGGGTTGAATTGCACCAACTTAAACCCATTAACCATAGAAAAAACAGATATAAAAACAGTCTCTCATGACTTTAGGTTACCATGAAAATAGCATGGCCATTTGATTAGGTTAATAGCATAAGCCATTGTAGATGCTACTGTATTCAATTTAAGTGAATACACAGCTTTTAAAACCGCATTTGGCTACGTTCATAAGAGTGGAACATGGATACATTAAGCACATGATTCTTAACAGCTTATAGAAATGAGAAATCATCATTAATCTCCTCAGCGGAGCTTTATATATCATAAATGATACACTGAATAGAGCATATAGGCAGTGCCGATCCTAGACTTCTGGGGGCCCTACGCAAAACTGAGTGGTTATGAACGAATGAATGAAACGCATTTGTCCGTGTTTGACTCCGTCTCGAAATGTGCTTGGGGAAAGCACTTGAGAAACTCTGTCTCTTCCACGGCTCGGTACGCTTTTCAACACGTTTTTTTAGTCTCGAGCAAGACTGTATGACATTCACGTTACATGATTTAACTGATTTTTACGTAGAAAGGGCGACAGCGCACCTCATTAAAATAAATTATCATTCGTGTTTTCATAACCGCTGGCCAAATTCAAAAACGAAACTAAACGCATTTGTCCGTGTTTGACTCCGTCTCGAAATGTGCTTGGGGAAAGCACTTGAGAAACTCTGTCTCTTCCACGGCTCGGTACGCTTTTCAACACGTTTTTTTAGTCTCGAGCAAGACTGTATGACATTCACGTTACATGATTTAACTGATTTTTACGTAGAAAGGGCGACAGCGCACCTCATTAAAATAAATTATCATTCGTGTTTTCATAACCGCTGGCCAAATTCAAAAACGAAACTAAAATTAAATCATCTTTGAGAGCTTGGGGGCCCCCTGGTGTTTTCGGGACCCTACGCAGCTTGTGTATTTTGCATATAGGGAGGATCGGCTCTGCATGTAGATATATGTAGTCAGCGTCTAAAGTTATATGTGAACATCCACAGTAGCAAGCACGTTCAGTTAATTTATTTTCGGTTTCTTTTGGGCCATGCACTACAGGGAGGTTTGTGATATTGCATGTTGTTAATGTAATGACTGTAAACTGGAGCTAAATATGATCTCCACACTTGTGGTAAAGGAGGCACTTCATCACAGATCTGACAGCTCAGTTTTGCACGCTGGGATACGTCAACCCAAACTGGGCATGTTGTGAAAATGTGATTTTTGGCAGACTGCTGTTTTTGCAGGGTTATTATTAGAGGTCAAATCTGACTTTTTTTGAAAGTGCATAAGTTCTGGTTCAGTTGTATCGTTCAATCAATTTAGCTTTCAAACCAGTGCCCTTGTTAGTACACAATTCATGTGTATTAATCAGTTTTTGAGCCCTAGAATTTGAAAGAATTTCACATGCAGTATTTAACAAGAAGCTGTGCGTGCCAGCTTTACAAAGGCTTGCCAAAAAAGAAAAAAAAACTTTAAAGACCCAATGAGCTGCACCAACAGCTGGAGCACTAGAGGAAAATGCAAAGCCCACAAAATTACTTATTTCAATTCTACACATTTTAATGAAATACAACAACCAGTGCAAAAAAAGAACACTTTCTTAATCAGTATTTTTGTAGTTTCCTAATAAAAAAAAAGGTAAACATCGTTTAATCTCCTTAAAAATATTAATTTAATTTTAAGAAATAAATACATTTTGGTAGATTGAATAAATAAAAAAAGGCCCATCAACAGTTGCAAATAGGGTAAGATTAAGAAATGATCTTGTTTATTTATTTATTTTACAAAACATACTGATTTAAATAAATAAATCATTGTAAAAGCAATACAATACATACATTTGCCTACAAAAGATGATACACTTTTGCGGTATGATAAAAGCCCACTTTGATTTACCAGTACATGAATATTAATAAATGTCCAACACAGTGTTTGCAAAACCCTACAGCGAACAGTGTGAAAATTCTCCATTTAAAATGCTGCTGTTCTACACTGTAGTGAAGTGTGTTGTAATGGAGTCATGCTGACTGAATCACCGAAGAATCAAATGCTTTTCAACCCCTGCAGCCATGCAAATCTAGGACGGTTCTCTTTATAAAACTTAATTCTGTTTAAAAGTTGACAGTTCTGAAAAACAACCAAATAGGACTAAAAATTCAGTATTATTAATTGAACAACTGTTTAAAGGAACAGAATATTAAGTATTTTATCTCAAAGGTCCTTATTAAGTTCACATGTTACCCAGAATTAAAGCTTTATTGATTTTTTATGACAGGCAACATCCACTTGACTCCTCAGTGGAGTTTTATCCACACTATAGGGATGAGGGCCACAGCTACTTCAATGAGAGTGAGCTGTGCCAACATTCACTTTGAAGTGTGGCCACATTTTCAACTGGGCAGGTCCCAAATGCTGAGCATCCTTTCGACTGGGTGTGTGTGGGTAGATAGAGCCTTTTCAGTCAGTGACAGGATCTTACCTCTTCATAATGCTGAGTTTGACCTTCTTCTCAGAGTCAGGAGACAAAGCAAATTGTCAGGTTTACACATTGTAACAGTTACATTTTCAGGTTTCAGCTCCAGGGGTGGTGAAATTTTGCTGTGTTCCTGTAAAAAGAAAGAGAAAAGACAGAAAACTTAATTATGATGACTATTATGTTGATGTTTGGGATACTGTTCACAAGAGAACATTAGTTCCAATGATGTTTTGATGACCTGTTTCAACATTCCAAAAAGAACACATGGTCAAGCTGGATGGTTTTAGAGGTTTTTTTGGCCTTTGTCCACTGGTCAGACTAGGAGAGCAGCTGGCCAACCAGCCAAATCAGCTAAACAGTAGCTAAGACCAAAGTACCTGAAGAAAAGCTGTTTAAACCAATGTTGTATTATTGAACTTGGTCTACTAGCATGGCCAAGTTGGTGTTCAGCTGGTCTCCCAACTGACCAGTGCCAGAAACCACTAAAATCAACAGTCCAGTCTAGCCTGACATGGCTGGGAAATCAGCTAAGATGAGCAAACCATGCATCTTAGGCTGTTTTTTTCCCATCAGGCCTAGCCAGCCTTCACTGGTCTTAGTTGGTCAACCAGCTTGACAAGTACTGAAGACCTATCTAAAACCATCCAAGACCAGCAAACCATTAGAGGTTGGTTTAAGAAGGTATAGCATGTCGGTGCCAACAGCCATGTGGGCAGCATGCTGACATACTGTTGTGCTACAGATGTCCCAAGTTCGAATCCCGACCTTTCCCGATCCAACCTCGCTCTCTCTCTCTCCCACTTCCCTTCCTGTCAGCTCTAAACTGTCCTATCATAATAAAGGCAAAAATGCCAAAAATAAATCTTAATAAAAGAAGATACAGCACTAGGTACAGCCAGCCTTCAGTGGTTTGCTGGTCTTAGCTGGACTCCTAGCTTGACAAGTACTAAAGACCCAAATAAAACCAACTAAGACATATTCAAAACCCACAACCATGATATGTCCTGTTAATTTTTAGAGATCTGCCTGTTGACCCGTGGAAGACGAACCGCCAGTGTGCGAGCGGACACCTACTGCCGACTATACTCGCTCTCTGTGGACAACTTCAATGAAGTACTGGAGGAGTATCCAATGATGAGGAGAGCATTTGAGACAGTAGCCATTGACCGCCTTGATCGAATAGGTAAGTCGCCTAGAGAGTAAATTCAGTAGCATTAATATGTAGCATTGTGCTTATAAGAACCATGGTAATACTATAGTACTCCCCCAGTGAATTTTGTGAAGGTGTATTTACCTGTGTTAGAGGCATTACTGGTACACAGCCCAGAATCCATGTGTTTGGATACCCATTGGTCACATCTGTGGGCAAATTTGAGTCCCCTCCAAAATTTGTGTGTCTTCAACACGATTGTTTTGCCATCTTTGGCTTGTGTCCTGCGCACATAAACACGCAATTTGCCAAGAGAGGCAGGCCACCTGCCCTCCTCACCCCTCTCAGCATCCTCTTTTCTTATCTCCCAAGGTCAGCATGCTGCTGATGTCACTCCCTGTCACACGACCACCTCAGTTGTTTACATATTGGCCATGCAGCCACCCCACTCGGCGCTGTTGCCATGGCAGCCAGATTCCATAAATGATCAGTTCAGACCACAGATGCTTTGCAGAAGAACATCCACTACAACAGTCTGACATTCAATGACCTGATGCAACGTCAATTTTGGCTGTTAATTTTAAGAACTTCAGAAGTGACTCAGTTGTTTATTTACTATGGGAATAGAGAGGTTCAGTCATGACGTCAATTTGTAGGCATGGGTTCCCTCAGTAATTTCCTATGGGTTTTTTAAATAAATATGTTCTGAAATAAGGTTACTTGAAGAGAATTTCCTTTTTTGTTCTTAAAACATAAATCATTCATACCTGAAGCGTGAAATTTGAAACCATAATGTGCTTAAAAAATATAAGTTGCTACATAATAGCAATACACCTTGTTAGCTCACAATGGTTTCAAAATTCACCTTTAATGTACGGTTTTATGTTGTACAATAGAAAGTAAAAGCCTCTTCGAATAATGTCTAACTTTATTTGTACGTATAAATTCTGATATTCCCCACAACATGAAAATACTAATAATGCTAAAAATGCTTATTCTCCTGGGTTTTGGGACGGCAAACTGAACAGCTCTATTCAACATGACAACATCTCAGCTCTAAACATGATGAATGCCATAAATCTGTGCCACATATTGCGTGATATGCAGCATGTAGCTGTGGAAGACAGCTTGGTGAAATTGCATGCTCAAACCACGAGTGATAGTTCTAAGTGTTATTTGTATGTGGTACTGGAGACGGAGGTGAGAGAAATTGAAGGCGATGTTGGGGCCCTGCCAGCAGGAGCTGTGCATAGGATGGCATTTTAGCTGCAAATTGTCTTGCTAGCAGCAGGGTGTAGGTGATAGGCACGCGCCATGTCGCGAGTTAGTGTTAGCGGTGCCGTGACTCAGCACAACGACATCAGTGCCAGACATAGCATCCCTCTCACTGGAAATCTCAGCAGAGGTCTGGGGCTTGTTGTTCACAGAGAACTGGTTGACCCATCAGTCTGAAAAAGCATTCATCAGAAAAAAACTACAGGAGTCCACTGAGTAAAGTGCAAATATCCATCTGAACAAGTTAGTCACGCCATAAAGACTGGATTGGTGGAGTGTTGTAGCGATATTTGTCCTTCTGTAGATTTCTCCCATCTGCATATATGATCATGGAGCTCAACTAGAGTGACCATCAGGTTTTTGGTCACCATGCTAACCAAAGCCCTTCTCCATCAATTGCTCAGTTTGGCCAGGAGGCCAGCTCTAGGACGAGTCCTGGTTGTTTCAAACTTCTTCCATTAAGGGTAACAGAGACTACATGCTTCTGTGACCCTTCAATGAAGCAGAATTTTTTTCTGAACTCTTCTACAGATGTGTGGCTTGGCGCAAACCTGTTTCTGAGGTCTACAGACAGTTCTTTTGACCTCAGGACTTGTTTTTTGCTCTGATATGCATTATCAGCTGTTAGACCTTTTATTAAGATGTGTGTGCCTTTCCAAATCATACCCATTCAATTGAATTTGCCACAGGTTAATTTCACTTGAAGTGTAGTAATATCTACAAGCAATATGAATGCTCCTGAGCTAAATTTCAACTGTCCCAGATACTTATGCAATGGAATCATTTTAGTTTTTTATTTTGAATAAATTTGCAAAGATGTTAAAAACTATTTTTTTTGCTTGACAAGTATGGTGTATGGACTATGGAGTGTAGATTGTTGTGGAAGAAAACTAATTTAAAGCAGTTTAACAAGGCAGCAACAAAACAAAATGTGAAAACTTTAGTGACTAAAGAAACTATAGTGGCGTCCCTGGTCCCATCCTCCTCCTGGACGACCACTTTCCTGCAGAGTTAATTTCAATGCACTAATGTTTTTGTGAAAACTTTAGTGACTAAAGAAACTATAGTGGCATCCCTGGTCCCATCCTCCTCCTGGACGACCACTTTCCTGCAGAGTTAATTTCAATGCACTAATGTTTTTTGGTAGTTCAGATGTCTCTAATTAGGAATACAGCTAAACTTTGCTTGATCCAGGAGGAGGATTCAACACCCCTGGACTAAATGGCTGTTTGACCACTGTAATTTATCCTTTCTCCACATCGTGCAAGTCTAGCAAATTTTTAGCACCATATAATCACTTCACCTGGAAAATGAGACAAAGATTAAGTGTATTATGTTGTTTTAGATTGAGCTAGTGCTTCACTGTGTCTGACAATTACTAAATGCACTGAGCCTAATGGAGCAGAGCAGTGGTTCTCAATTCTGGTCCTTGAGTACCACCGCTCTGCACATTTTGTATGTATCTCTTATCACTTCAGACGATTGTTCTATTTGACTCTAAGTGCCCTGTGACGTGGACATCATAAGATATACCGCCATGATTCCCCTGTTGAAATAACCAGCATATGCTGGTTTTTCAACAGGGTCCAGTTCGAAGGGAGCATATGTATTCCATTCAGAGAGCATTAAAGTGTGCGAGACATTAATTTAAATTTTATTTATTTCGAGAGGTATATTATGTCACACTTTACAGTTCTCCGTTCAATGGATTTCCTGTGTTCAGGGAGTAGGGTGCAAAGAACACTGTGTAGGGACCCTGTCAATCGGAACATAGTTCATGCATGGAGCTCACTTCTAACGAGCTGATTATCTGAATCAGGTGTTTTAAATAAGAGAGACATGCAAAATATGCAGAGCAGTGGTATGCGAGGACTGGAATTGAGAACCATTGGAGTAGATTGTAATGGGTTCACTGTAATAAGAATTAAACTTTTAGGTTGTTAGTAATATTACTCTTAGAGATCCTTCTCTGCAGTATTCCTACCTAGTTAACAGATATTTGTGTTCAAGGCAATAACTGACCGTGATCTGTACATTTCAGGCAAGAAGAACTCCATCCTGATGCACAAAGTACAACATGATCTTAACTCTGGCGTCTTCAACAACCGTGAGAACGAAATGATCCAGGAGATTGTGAAGTACGATCGGGAAATGGTTAAACTGGTTAAACAAGGGGACATGCAAAGGCCCAGGGCCATGTCCATGACTCTTTCAACTCACGGGAACATGTTTGCACCTTCTAGTCAACCCTCTACAAGTTCTGCCATTGCTAGCCTTCAGCAGGCTGTTGCCATGAGCTTCTTTCCCCAGATGGGCAACCCTCTAGTGGGTTCTGGGGCGGTCCAGTCTCCCCGCATGGTTCGGCGCTTCCAGGTGGTCCAGAGCCAGACACCCCCAGGCTCCCAGTACTCCACCTTAGCCCTCGCCTCTGCCCTTGCAAGCACACCTGTCCACAGCCCTCTGGCAACTGCTGGTCGAATGTTCCAGTATGGTTCTAGCCCCCCAGGTGCACCCTCAGGCTCCCAGTTATCCCTTGTACAGCAACACGTCCCCAGTCCCACACATCGACCTCCAGTCCCCAGGAGCACTCTAAGCCAGGACGCCCGAGTCCTATCCACCTCCCAGCCGTCCCTACCCCATGACATGGTGCAGCCAGTTGCCCCAAGCCCTCCTCAGTCCACCAGAGTCTCCTCCACTTCCATCGGTCCCCCTCAGAACCTCCCAGGCCCTGCTGGTCTTAGAGGAAGTATCCCACCAAGAATGGCACTACCCCATCAAATGTCTGTAGGTGCATTTCCTCCTGCCTCCCTCCCTCAGATGAGACCTAGCTTGGATTCAGGACTGCCCAAGAAGGATTCAATAATCAGTCTCCCAGAAACTGAACCACATCACATCAGATCTAGATTATCGTCGAATTTGTGACCACAATAGAGTTGGTGGGCTCTGTCTGGGTCAGGAATGTGTGGACTCTCCTTCACCAAGTACTATTCCTGACCCCCTGTCACACCTTTGAAATTTACTCTCAGAATGTATGTGGTGTGACTGGCCACAAGGGCAAACAAACGATAGAGACTTTATAGTATAAAATTAACATGTCTGTATCATTCTTACCACGATTGGAACTTTTCCATTTTACCTATGATATAAACATCAATGTAGCTTCCACCCTCACAATTTGCCTCTTTGAAATGGTTTTCTTTATTGTAGCTGTTCACAAAGATTACAAATGTACCACTCCCTTTTATATACTGTAGTTCAAACGATATGTGTCTGAATACCGGTACTTAGCAGTTTGCTTCTGATCACAATGTAGGAACTTACTCCCTTTTCTCAACATGACAATAGATATTTACCCTATAATGCACAATATTAGAATTGTTCTAGAAAAAATTTATTCAATGGCTCGAGAGTCCCAAATCGGTTTCGAAACGGGATGTGTTCTTACTGGAACTGCTGTCCATGTGTTTGTCTTATTCCTTCAGACCAAAGTTGGGCCAAAGGAAAATGTTAACATGAGATGACATGTAGGTGTGTTAAATGAAATGAAAGGATAAAAACAAATATAATTTCATTGCCTTGATTTTGACTAGAAATACTGTGTGTGTTTTTCTTAGCTGTCCCAAAACAGAGCACATTTCACTTAATTTAGCGTTGGGACAATTAAATGAATCAACAGTTTCCTAATTAAGGTTCATGGAAGTGAATACCACAAATTTCAAGCTAATTATGCTGCTGAAGTATGAAGTTTAATGACAGGGAGACTCATTTGCCCTTATCTGGTGCATTCAAATGCATTTAAGTCTTAATTACAAAGGACTTAAGTAGCTTTGTTCTCAAAGGTCAGGTTTCATAATTAATGAACTATTTATTTCAAAGATTGTGGCTTTGTCCTGTTTGTGAAAGTCGCCCTCCTTCACAAATAAAGCGCATGAATATGACTTAATGTTCAAAGCCTAAGCAGTTGAGGGGGACTGCACATTTTAGAAAGCTAGTGAGGTTAAGCGAGTGAGTACATTGACGGTGATTACTCCCCTCCTCTGAAATGTGACGCGATCCATCAGGCGACGACGAGTCGCTCCACTATCGGTTGTTTTGGAGCACTAAATAACTCGCTCGCCATGGCTACCTAACGAGGTCTGATGTCCTCTCAGTCTTTGAATCCTTGGAAAACCTATTTATATTCTGCTGTTACTTACCATTTCACAGCTTGAAAGAGACTATAGGCTGCTCCTATTTGTTCTTGGCATCCTGGAGACAAAGCCAAGCGTGAATTGATCGTTTGACTTCTAAAAAAGAACAAAATGGGCAGATGGTTGAAAATAGCATCAGACTGTTCGTATACAGGGTGTAAAGTTCATTTTTGATTACTTTGAATAGAATCATAATGTCTTTCCCTTGTAAAAACAGAGTTTTAAATGATTCCCTGTGGACCTTGCGGTGCACAAACCAGTGCCGCCCCATAAGCTGATTAAAAACAACAACCTTATAGCTGCTTTTAATGATATCCTCAGTTTTATGTTGCACCAAAAACAGATGTTGATTTTATTCAATATATGCCAAGTGTTACTTTTTTTTTGCCAAATTCTAAGTAATATTTCAAGCAATAAAGTTTACAATATGTCCATGAGAAAATAATATTTGTCTCAGTTGGAGTTATCATTAACAATACACATGTTCCACAAAGTACCACTAAGTTATACTATGCATTATGGTAGAGGAAAAAAATGTTTTATGAAACTTGTCTGGAGGGCATGTTAACTTTTACAACTTTGCATACATTTGATTTATCATCATTTATCCATATCATCTTTTGGTTATTTTTTCATGACTATATTGATTAAAGAGCCATGTTTTTAGCAGCGGTTCTGCGGTTTTGTTTGAATAAACTTTCAAAACAGCTTGTGATGAAGCTACTTAAACAGTGTTCCATTAATTAGGATGTTACAAGAGCCTGGGGTTGTTTTGCAGCTTTGCATGAAATAAAGGTGTATAATGACGGGCCCAGGGTCAAATTTACTTACCGTTTAATTTAACTTACTTGACTTCTTCACATCGGGTCTGATGTTTGGTCCAGCATATCTGAAATGCAATTATATTTGCTTAAGATCATAAATGGAAGTAAACCACAGCATCATCTCTCATCACCAGCTATAATCTTCCCACAAAAATGTGCAAATCTCATTTCAAAAAATGTTTGCTAAAGTACCCGTTGTGTTTTTGTAGTGATACTTTCCTCTGAGAGCCTGTTTGATGTCTAAGCTAACAGTTATTAAGGTTTCAACACAATTTTGCGTTTGTCAGACAAGCTACCATAAAAGAAGTAAACTTTAGACTTTTGCCAAGTGCTCCTGTATGTAAGTTCCTCTCTTGAACTTTCTCTGAGTTGACAGTGTGGTCAGTCTACTCAAGATGTTGAAAGATGTGACATGGTGAACCCTTGAGAGGCATCTTTCCCTCAGAAGGCACCTCTGTGACAACTTCAATCAATCCACTCCACTGTTGAGCGCACAGAAAATGTTTATATTTTCTTGGAGAGGTATCGTGCATTAGAAAAAAGAAACTAGAAAAAGAAACTTTAAAAAAAGTAAAATGTTTATATATATATGATATATATAAATATAAGAAAAATATTTAAATTCCAAGAAAAAAACACAAAACCCACAATTCTGAAGTGCATTACATTTTTTTTTCTGGCA